AAGGTGATGGTAAAAATCTTATCGATTATAATTCTAAAGTTTTTTTCCAAAAAATTACAAAAATGACTGAAAATGCAAAATTAAAAAATAAATCAGAAAGTATCTGCGATTTTTATTTACTAGATTGAATCTGAATTTCGAATTGTAAAGGAAGGAACCAAGTAAGTTTAATAAGAAAAAGAGATATTTAAAAATATATACCAAATTCAATTAACACTGAAAAGCTAAAATTTGGAGAGTTACTTTCTTAAAAGCTACATGCACGATTTTTACAAAACACGGCACTTTAGCACATTTTGTGTCGTAGAATCGAAATATCGATAGGTAAATAAGTGCGTCATTTCTGAAAACGTCTTATTTTCTATCAGGATACCTAAGTTAGAACGATGCTATATATAAATCTAATATATATACTAAGTCACGCTTTCGAGACATATATATATATATTAGATCAGTCCATAAATTCGTGCGCATTCTTTGGTAAATTTTAAATAATATAAAAAAACACAATTTAGCATTTTAATCAATTATATATTTTCTTCCATTTTATACAATGTCTCGCCATCTTACAGGCAGCTTTTTTATGCCATTGCTGTAATGATGCAAAAAAACTTGAAAGTTCATTGTGTACATCCAGGTTAGGATTTAATTTTTTTCCCAGTAAAAAATTTTGTAAGGCACGAAATAAGTGAAAATCACTTTGGGCAATATCTGGGGAGTAAGCAGGATGTGGCAAAAGCTCCCAATTAAATGAACTAATTTTTTGCAGCGTTGTTCGAGCCGTATGCGGTCTAACGTTATCATGATGAAACAACACTTTCTTGATATTCACCAACCGTGGGTGTTTTTTGATCAATTCTGAGTTTAGACGGCAAAGTTTTTCACTATAAACTTTTGAATTAATCGTTTTATTTGTTTCTAACAGTTCAAAACGGCCTGAACGGGGTTCACCATGAATGCTTCTTTTTCGAACTTTAAATTTTTAAAATCCTTTCTGGGCACTCCTTACACTAATAGTGTGTTCACCATCTACAATATTAATTTTCATCGCTGTAAACGTGGCAGATTCACCACACGAAAATAAAAAATGTAGCACAGCACGTTTGTTGGTATTATCTATATTCATCTTGTATGGATACTAAAATGTAATAAGTAAAATAAGTAAAAATTTAAAAGTAAATAAGTAAAATAAGTAAAAGTAATAAATTTCAAAAGCAATAAATTACTTATATTTATCATGCATTATATTAGTTTTTTTTCCAAATGAAATAAATGTGAAAATTAATCTAAAGATATGGAAAATAATCAGAGCTATTTCTGTGGTTAAATTTTTCCTTAAGAAAGACTAATTAGAGATATAAAGTAACGACTGTAGATGTTACAGTGTTGGTTGCAGATAGTTTTAGGAAATTATTTTTTTTAGGCATGCATTTTGAGGGTACCTATTTTTTCATAATAATTAGACTCCAGTCATTATGTCTAGCTTCATTTTCTTCAGGGGTTTGAAAATCGTTATTTACATAAATTAATTTTAGAAATGCCTGTTAAACAATTAAACAAAAATAAATAGAATTATAAATAAAATAAATTTCTGAAATCCCATTAAATTACACTTAAACACTTTAAAAAGACGCGAACATAAATATACCAAATAATATATAAGAAATTACATAATGTTTCCATATTTCATATATTAAATCTCTAGTAATAATGTATGTTATTTTTATGACATTAAGAAAATTTTGAAAGTTTTATTGAAGGCTTAAAAGGAAAAGAAAATCTGTTACCGCAAGTTCTTAAGAGTGAAAATACAAGCACGTATTGATCAAAAATTCGAGAAGGCAAAGTTTTTTTTCATCCCCTACTAGTGCTAAGAAAACTTTCCAGATATTATTACTCGAGATTTAACATCTTTTTTCTTTCGTCGTTCTTATTCCTTCAGACATCACGTTTCGAGAAAATCCGTTCTTTTCCGTTACTGAAAGCAAAAAAATGTTTTATTTCTTGTTTTGTGACATTTCATCATCAGTCCGAGATTACCCCTCAGCCGCGAAAAGTGTGCTAGGAGATTGTTTCATTAAGCTCTGCCGGTGTTGCTGTTTTTTAGTTTGTTTCAACCTGATAAGCCATTTTTCCTTTTATTCGGCTGCAACCGACTCCAGAGTGAGTCCCCACATCGATAGAGATCGAGCGTTTTGATATCATTTTGAGTTTTCCTTTATATCAAACAATTCAATTCATACTATAATAGTTGGAAAAAATCTTTTATAATTTTAGAAACTCCGCAACAATTTTCTGTCAATTTGTTTAATTTTTAAGAAAAGTATTTTAGATGAAGTTGAATTATCTAAATAAGATTTATTAGATGAAGTAGAATATATCGCCTATAACAACATATCGCGGCTTTTTAATATTTCGAATTCAATTTTTTACGTTAATTGCGGCATTCGTACTTTATTAGAGCTTTATAAAAATCCCTGAATCTTTTGAAATCTGTTTTACATCTCAATCACCTAAATAAATGGGTAAATTACTTTACAGATGATGGCAGCACAGGTGTGAAAGAGAATAGTTTATATATAATATATGTATATGATTATTTGGGAATGACACAGCTAGATAACGAAGCACAAAATACTGGCAGATATTAAATATTGATTTTATTTTATTTCACAATTTGAGGCCACAAATATTTTGGCACTGTAATCGTGCGTGTTTCCGAATGTAGCATTTCCATTTTTGGTACTATTGTGGATAGAATAAACACCACGGAAGCATCTTAGGAGAAGCAGAATCAGAAGAATCTAAACTTTCAGGCTGATAGGTGGTGTGGTGTGGTGTATTGAGAATACGGTAAAGCACACTAGGGCTATCTGCCTAAGGGGACGGATGCCTTCGTGGAGGACTTTCTAAGGGAAACTGGCTCGTATACACGTTACACACGGGGAAATCCACGAAAACGCCCATGCAGCCGCTCGGCCGCTGGTGGACCTCAAGCTGATACAAATCTGCGGTTTGGGCAAAGAAGAGTCGTTCTGATGCTCTTGCATATAGTTTAGGTTCGAAAGTCTACATCTACAGTGTCACGATCAGTTTAAAAAAAGAGTGTCAGTAGCCAAAATGTCAGTGGTAGATTACAAGATACTTTGTTTTTCAACAAACTCAAAAATAAAATAACAGTTTTAACAGTCGTGAAGTATAAAGCCAACTTCGTAATGTACGGAACAGTTCAAACCCAAAACGAAAGTAGTGCGATTTCGAGATAAAAGGTTTAAATACAAAGTTATAAATGATATTTTTAAAGAATGAAAAAACTGTTTCATAAAGGAAGCATCAGATCACTTCATACTAATGTCACTGTAAGTGCCCAAAAAATTGCCTTTATTGCTCTAAAAATATTAGACGTAGTGTATAATCCCGCCCAAAACATTTGTATTGGAATGCTGCCCAAACGGTATAGTTGTTCGGTGATGTATATATGACATATTTTCTATTTAATGGCGTAAATTAATTTATGCCCATTTATTTTAAACTTAATATCGTTAATTAAAATAACTAAATGTTTAGTTTGGAAAAAAAATTTCATAATATGAGATTTCGAACTCGTTTGTTGAAGAACGTGTTCAAAGAGTACAAATTGCAGTAGCTTTCAAATTTAAAAAGACATAAAATGAATATGTTTCAAAGTTATTAACACTGAGCTTTAAATAAATTTAGCGCATGGGATTTCGATTGTAATTTGGCATCTCAGTAATTTCTCTCTCTCGTTTTGTATACTATATCTGTATTTTGGTTTAAAACAAAATTTTAAAAAATACATTAATGCCCTAAAACTAAATTATTTTTTTTTAAAATGCAATGTTTTCAAATACGTCATTGAAAAGGTTTTCCCTAAAATGAATGCTTACGTGCTACCTTCCAAGTGCATATGGTATTAACAATTATCACACATGTTGGAACTGAAAATCTGAATTCATTAACAATATTTCTGTATAATTTAGCCTCTTTTTCTTTGTCATCTTTCATTTTTCATACCATGAAATTCCAGCAAACGTTCTGTATAAAAATGTATTCCTATTTGCTTTGCGCGCATTGTAAACAAACCAGATAACAACCAAGTTTAGTAGTGCGAACTCAGTATCGGGGAAAAAATGGGGTCAAACAAATTCTTTGCATGTATTTATCATACAAATTTTGAAACAAAAAGTTTAGTGAAAGCGAAATTTCCACCCAAAAATAAAGATTTCACAAAACAAAAACTTTGCAGATATTTGCAACCTTATCTGTGAGTAGTAAAATTAATAATAAGCAATGCGCCATTGTGCGTGTATCGAAGGGTAAATAAATTCATTAGTAAAATTAATTTCTCTTTCAACCAAAATATATTATTAATATCATATATTTTTAATATTCATTTGCATATAGGTATAACAATAAGCATCTATAAATTAATCACCATATTGAATATTCTAAGAAACAAAGTTTTGTTTGTATGCAAAAGTATGCACTGATTACAAGTTTACGCTGACGCAAGACCGGCATCTGTGCATTCATTTAAGCACATCGGATATCGCCGAGACTTGCCAATTGTTGTTTTCGGCTCACATAAAATTTCGAAGAAGAAAAACCCCGGAAAGGTTCGAAGATCTCCCATTCATCTTTCCCTACCATAAGCCTTTCGAAAAGATTTTGGCTTACCGTGCATTTTTATTGCTCCCTTGCCGCGCAGACACTATACGCTTACAAAGATCCAGGTTTTCTCCTAGATTCGAGCGCGGGACCGTTAGGGAAGGCAGTCAGCAATACTAACCCTTGTATCGTCTGGGCAGGATAAGTTTTCACGAATTATTGGAAATTGGTTGTACTTTAACTAAAATACGAACAGATCTTTTGTTCGCAAAAATGAATCACCATTTGTCTTGTGTATTTTTTTATTGTGTAACTAATAATGCATGTTATCCAATACATTATTCGAAATATTAAAGGAAAACCTCTCTTTTTTATAGCCATGAATATACGTAAGAAATGAAAATTAAAAAATTGCATTTGAATCTGGACCTGCTTAGATAATACTTTCTTCATTATCACTAGGTAAGTAAATTTTTCAATCTTCCTTTTCCTGTAGATAATTGAAAAATAAATCTCATTTTAAAAGCCTTAGTTATGCTTATGTGACGTATCTACGTCTAATACAGAAATGCATTATTAAAAATCAGTATTGTATCATTTTATTGAAAACTTCATTATCAGATTGATAAAAAATGCTTATCCATTATAGAAATTTTTGTAAAATTTAGCAAAAATTGAATGAGTCGGTTATAATTATTTTACACCTTTTGAATGTATCGCAGGTTTACTAAGCAGTGAAACTTTGTAATAGATCCAGTTGGTCAAACAACAAGAATATCTGTAACATTATAATTTTGCAAAGAACTAAGAATTATTCTTTTTTCTTTATAATTGCATCTGTTCTTTTAATTGCTATTTATGATTCACAACAACGGAAAAAAATAAGTAATTAATAAATTAATTCTTTAATCTAGATTAAAATTTTGACTTTTCATCCAGGTTTTTAAAAGCCGTTTTAAAGTCGATTGTACGAGCAATCACATTACATGAAATCAGATTTCAGATCTGGCGATTCGTGATAAGTTTAACTATCTGTTAACCTCAAACAAGGTAAAATTAAACGCATCTGACGTTGCGAGTATTAAAATATTATCTTGAAAAACTTATCTTGTCGAATATTCTGTACCTTTTAATGAGGTATTTTTGATTTTGCGAACGAATGTTTTTTGTTTCCTTTTGTGACCATATTATTCTTGCTATTTCCAGGCATGCATGATTAATAATGAATGAGTTTACTTTATGAGAGAATAAGTTAAGCTGCAAAATATCAGGAAGAAGAATTGATTGAGATGTCAGATTAACTACTGTCTTAACGTTGTTGCTGGTAGGCAGGAGTAATTTTGTGAGCTTAGCTTGAGCCTTAGTAACGGTCAGAATTTAGTAATCACTCGAAATGTACTAATTCGAGATAAGCTTGGCCCACCAGCGGCCGAGCGGTAAAGACGCTGAACACTGGTAGTTCGGTCTGAGGTTCGAATCCCGCGAACGGGCTGGCTGCATGGGCGTTTTCGTGGTTTTCCCCATGTGTAACGTGTATACGAGCCAGTTTCCCTTAGAAAGTCCTCCACGAAAGGCATCCCTCCCTTTAGGCAGATAGCCCTCGTGTGCTTTGCCATAATTAAATACACCACACCACCACACCGAGATAAGCCTGTTTTAAATGAGTTATCCTTGGTAGAAATTTAAAAGTATTGTATATCATATAAACATATTTCTTCAACTGTTCTTTCAAATGATTGTATTGATCCCCTGCTAGAAAGTAATTTTGATGAATGACTAGAAAATAAATTAATTTTTGCTTAAAGCTTATTTTAGGATTAAAGGTAAATTTAAGATGCTTTGTGTAAACTGCTTTTATTTAATTAACTATTTTTTGGCATGAGTGGCATGGCTTTGTGGATCTGCTCAGTGTGAATCATAATTTATTAGCTAAATTTGTATAACTGTTTTATTCTGAGTTTTTATAAACTTCCCTTCATTAATATGATAGTTACATCATTAAAAAGAAGAAGAGAACAAAATATTATTAACCAGCGAGTGCGCGCGCCGGGTGTCTCATAATCGGTGGCATATTCTTTGTCCTTATCTACAAACACTTTCTTGGAAATGGGCGAAACCTTTCGTAGCTAAATTCAAGGAAATATTCTTGAAGCTGGGAAATCCGTGGAGTGATTCTTCGAATACTTTTCTAGAACTTGTACCGTTTGGGTATGTGACAACCGCTCGCCTTCTGGCGTCTCTCAGATTTTCATGCTTACTTTCTTAGTTAGTCAGCATGGCGCGGTATCTAAGTTATGATAAAGAAATTAAAAGTTTGAAAAATATGCTAGAAACCGTTTCAGCAGATGATGAATCGCTTAGCGAAGCGGAGGAAGGATTAATAGATGAAGATCATAATTCATCAACAGACAGTGTTACAGAAATCAATCAAATTATGAAAGTATTGTCCTACTATCAATTATGCACAACGATAATAAAATTGATGAAACCACTGAAGTAAGCCGGAGATTATTTCATTTTATAATCTAACCAAAGGAGCAGTAGATGATGTAGATGAAATGGGAGCAGCATATTCTACAGCTAGAGTTCGAAACCGTGACCTATGGTAATTGTTTTCTCGACTTTAAATGTTGTAGCAATTAATGCACCGATAATCTTACTTTCTACAGAAGAACCACCAACTCAGTTTAGAAACAGGCGTTCTTTTCTCAAATCATTAGGACTGAAGTTAGTAGAAGATTGCTCAAATCAACGGCAGCAATAAATCATGTTCCCTGAAACTAAAAGAAAAAATAGTTTCACGAGAGTGCAGCATGAACCCACCATCTAAAAAGATGAAAAGAAAAATATTTAAAGAAGATGCTCAGAGTGCCCTTAAAACAAGAACAGAAAGACACGGTTTCTGCGCGAGAGATGTAATATCAGTATTTGTATGGAGCATACGTGTTAAAGCTGTCAGAGATGTAAAACATAATTGTAAGTTAAGCACTTCATTTATTATATTTTTTAAAAATATTCTAAAGTTTATTGTTTTTTATGTTAATTCACATTTATACTCAAATTTATATCATTAAAGCAATTTGAAACGTGCTAATTGCTTTCGGGTATGACATACCCAGCGCGCCTTCTCGTGTTTGTAATTTTGGCGCGCTTGCTCGCGTGTTAATAATAAGCTAATACATACCAAGTGGCAAAACATCTCATGACCGCATTAAGAATGTCATGCCGCTTAGGAGGTTAAGAGAAAACAAACCAACGGAAGGTAGAGACAAATTGACAAATATTGATTAGACGAAAAACAAGAATTCATACAACTTTATAATGCATTTTTTTTCACGTGTACACATTTCGGCACCAAACAATGTTTTCATTCTGCATATTGATTGCATTTCGCATTCATTTAAAAAAATCAGTTTCTTTCGAATAAAATAATCATGCTAAAAATGATGATTATTGTTCTTAAAGTAGTGTACTGAATCGTGTTTTTAGATTATATTAATATTGCGAAATCGTTTCCATATTTCAAGGTTTTGCTTTGCAGCCGTCTTAGCTAGTGTATCAGAAATTCCTTTCTTAACCCTGTAGAGACATTAGGAAGTAAGCAAGATGAAAAATGAGCAATCGCCTTCGCCGAGAATCAAACCACGGACCTCTGAAATACCGACTCAGTGTACTGACCACTACATCACGAAGTCATGCTAGGAAGGCGGGAGAAATACCTTATATACTTCCCCTTTTAAAGGGCGACTGGGGTTTTTAGGGGACCAAATCGCCAAATCTTGGGTGAGGAGAATCATCATCCAACACTCTTTTAGTTCGGGCGCCACTTTAGAGACATTAGGTATTTTTGGAAGCAGGCTAGATGAAAAATGAGCAATCGCTTTCGCCGGGAATCGAACCACGGACCTCTGAAATATAGGCTCAGTCTGCTGACCACTACAGCACGAAGGCATGCTAGGAAGGCGGGAGAAATACCTTATAACCCATCCAAAACGTTTAAAACAATAATTTTCGTTTGAAATATTAATCGAAGAATTTTATTAACCACTCAGAACTGTTGTCATACATTATACGTACGTCAGTACATACTTCTTCTCTTAATGGCTCTTCTGTAACTTGAGAATGTAGGATTAATAATATATTTATTGAATTATCTTTAGAATAATAAAGGATTTATCAACTTGTTACAAAGCAAATTTTCTTAAAAACGTTAAAATTCATAAAAATAAAATTAGCTTTTATTTGCCATTCATTTATATATAATAATGAAAACGGCTAATTTTATTCCTATATTTATATAATTTGATTTATTCACACATATATACGAATGTTAGAAGTAACCAATCATACCAATCATAAAACTAACTTTTGAAAGCAATTTGAACTAATTTATGTGAATTCGTTACGCAGTATTTTCAGAAAATTCCTGCAGAGAAACGACATATTTTCAGAAAATTCAAAGGATAATAATATATACCTAAACACGTAGTGGGTTTCAAATTATTATGGATTTCATGAATTAAAAAAAGAGGCATATCATTATAATCTTAATAATTCAATAAACAAAAAATAAAGTAATTAAAATGAAATTTAATGTAAATAGTTTTTAAAGTTTGAATTAAAAGTGTTCTCAATAACATTTCGTGGTAAATGTTTAATTTGTTAAAAGTATTAATTCGTGTTGCATATATGTTGGAATCATCGTCACAGTCTATGTGCTTACAAATCCACTATTCGCTTGTGGTGATAGAACTAAAGATAATGGTAAACTAAATTTAAAGATAAGATAAGCTAGTATTTCAAGACTACAAAAAATGATTTAACCTAGCAGATAGATTCAGAAACCTACGCAGGCGGGATATTAAAGTTCGGCAAGAATGCGAAGCCGAAATTCAGAATTCAAATAGTTGGTAGAAACAACAATACTATGTACTACAACAATATCGTGCGTACACAAAAGCGAAACGCGCTCTGACTAACCTTTTCGCTACTTCAGCTTAAAGAGCTATATTTTACCCATTTACTCTTAACACATATGCACCATAGGGAGGAATCGCGAAAGAAACAAGAGATAATAGAAAAGGCTAAAAAATTAAAGTGACTATTAGAAAAATAATATAAGAATTTAAAGAATATAAAAATAATATAAAGAAAAATGCTAAATTTTATAATTCGATGGAATGTTTTTCTGATTTAATAACATAGATTATTAAAGCTGCTGTTTAGCATTGGTCAATTGTGTCACATAGCTAAACGTACTCTGTCTACATGTAAGAAAAATTACGGTTGATGTTAAAAATCTTCTATAAAGATAAAGATTTCACCAGTTTCGCTGATCTGATTTAAAAGGCAACCTATTTATAATAATTTCCAAGCTTACAGTATAAATTTCATCAGGATTTACATAACAGACCAACATTCGTTAGTCACCCTAGAAACGGCGTCTACTCTACATCGACCAC